AACATGATTTCTTTCCCTTCTTTTACTAAGGCGTAGCACTCCGATGATAATTTCCATAGCCCCAGATCTGTTAAACTATCGAATCTTCTAGGTAGCATAATTTGGTTTAAGAATCTTGTATTTATGATGATGTGCCCTCCCAACGACGTTTTCCTTCTGTGTATTGAAATTATTTTATACTGCATAGTTTGGAGCATATTTTAAGCACTTGGTGTTTTGTTATATGAATATCTTATATTTAAATTTTTTGAAAAAATTGATCCTTCCACTTCTAAGTTAAGTTTAAAAATGGTACCTATAATTTAAAATTCTACCCTATTTATACTAAAAATTTCAAGCATCTCCATTTAATGCTATTTATTTGTTAATTATTTGAGAAAAATAAACAAATCTTATTATTTGAAGGTTTTGTTACGGTTTTTAAATAAAATATTATCAATATTATCAATATTATTATTTATGTCAGTTTCTTTTACATTAAATCATACATATAGATATACAAATGCAAATTCAAGTTTAACGGCTTTCCGTTCACTCATGACAAAAAACTTTAAATATTACATCAAGTTTTCCAAATTTTAAAAAGATTTTAATTTTAACGTCTTTTTTAAAAACTTACAATTTTACCTACTTTTAATCAAGACAAAAACCCCTCTACAAATATTGCATACTTCATTTTAAAAATTGCATACTTCATTTTAAATATTGCGTACTTCAGTTAATATTTAAAAAAATATATTTCTAAAACTAGCTTTCAAGCTTTAAAAACTTTTTTAAATTTAATTTTGTCTTTAAAAACTAATTCTGAACCTAAACTTTTGTTTTTAGGAAGCAATTACGTCTCATTACGTGGTGCTGTGTTATCAATATTAAAAAACCAATTCTAAACCTAACCTTTGTTTTCAGGAAGCAAGTACGCCTCGTAACAAGGTGTTATGTTATCAATATTATTATTTAGGTCAGTTCCTTTTACATTAAATCATATATAGCCTATGATTTAATTATAGTTATGTAGAATTTAATTATTTTTTAATTTATAAATGCGTGAAAAAATATTTTTTAAGTTAATGTACATTTGACATAATAAATAATGATGATGAGATTCATATTATTGTATTATTTATCTTTTAAAATTCTAAACCTAACCTTTTGTTTTCAGGAAGCAAATACGCCGCGTAACGTGGTGCTCTGTTATCAATGTTTAAAAAAATTATTCTAAACCTACCTTTCAAGTTTTCAGAACTTTTTTAAATTTAACAATATTTTAAATTTAACGGCTTTCTTAAAGATTTAAAATTTAACGGCTTTCTTTTATGTCCCAATATAAAAAACTTAAAATATTGCATACTTTCAAATTTAAAAAAAATTAAATTACTGCTTTCCTTTTATCAAGACAAAAAGTTTAAAATATTACATCAAGTTTTTCAAATTTTAGAAAGATTTTAAATTTAACGTCTTTTTTAAAAACTTACAATTTGACCTACTTTTAACCAAGACAACAACAACTCTAATACTTTATTTTTAACATTGCATACTTCAAAAAGCTTGCTTTCATTTTCATCATTGCTTACGCTTAGGGTGACACTTCCACTCTTTTTTACCCAAGACAACAACCACATTACCCAAGACATCAACCATATTACATCATTGCATACTCTAGGATCACGTTTCCGGTCTTGAACCCCTATATTGTGACTACTGCCGCAGGATCAAGAGCTGCAGCTCCACGCGGCCCTCGGACAGCGTGTTTAACATGCCTGGTTTAGAAAAAGGACGAAGGTTTAGAGCTAGGAACCATTGTAATAAATTGAAAATATAAATTGAAATATGTTTTCAAATTTTATTTTATTATGAAAAAAATAAAAACTTAAATATAAAAAACAAAACTAAATATAAAAAAAAAATTTATTATTGTTTTCAACTGTATGGAAAGAAAGGTCTCCCTTTGTAAAAAAATCTAGAACATTTTTATTAAAACCACAACATTTATTTAAAAATTTCTCTAGGACGTTGAATGTTTTAGTAATTGAAAACATAAATTCTAAATTTTATTTTGATATAAAATTTTTATATTTTTAATTTAATTAACTACGCAATAACTTGATTTAAAAATTAAATTTTACTTTTATTGCACTTAAATTTCAAAATAAGAAATCGGTTTTTGACCTCAATTTTCTCCTATATATTGCTTGACATCTTAAGATGGTGCCTGCTCAAAAAAATGTGGGAAAAAATAGAAATTATGTTCAACCAAAATTGTTGTTAAAATTTTGAATTAAAATTTGAATTTATGATATGTTATTCAAGAAAGTTTAGATTTTATTGTAGTATAAAATTTTTTTGATTTTAGTCATCTTTAAACAAGTACCGTCACAAAAAGAGCAGGCTCCAGCTCTTGATACTTGTTATGTCGCTCACCGTTTACACGTCAATCAAAGATTGACAATCATCATAGAGATTGATGAAAATTGACAATAAAAATCTGTTAATCTATCATTAAATATTTAATTGACGAAAAAATAGATATTAATTCTATCTTCGTTAACTGTTTTTGACAGAAATAAAATAAAAAATAGGACAAGAACAAGTTTCTGAATTAAATGAACTGTGATCAGCTATTTTAATGCTGTCTTTTTGTTGCGGTTTGTCATTTGAAGGTAGAGTGGCAGTTTTTTTGGTTTTTTAATTTTGAGTGCACACAGAAAGACGGACAAAGATGGATTGCAATATAAATGCAAATTCTCATCAATTATGATCGTTAGACTCTACTTGACATGTAAAAGTTACTTCAAGCACCCAGTGATATTAGCTAACTCGTTGATATCGTAAATACAAAAGGAAGGAGCTTCTTGAAAAACCAATTAAGCCAATTAATTTTCTAGTTGTCTCTTTTTTTGTTCCGAGCATTGTCAAAGTCGTATTTACTTTATTTTCTTATTTGGCCTGTACTATAAAATATGTGTAATTTCAAAGAACGGTAAGTTAAATTTTTATTTAAAGTATAAATTAAAAAATATTTCAAAATATTTTTCCATTTTAAATGTCTGTCAAAAAAAACCAAAATTTAAACAAAACACATATTTTTTTTTATCTTTGAATAAATTTATTTTATGAATTATAGAATTATAAATTTTGGTAAAGTATTTGAAATGCAAACTTCTTGGAAAACTCTAGGAAAACCGTAATTACGAGTATATAAAAAAAATATCAAATTTAAATATTGTATTTTACCAAACACAAACTAATTTGTTTAAAAGAAAAATTAGGTTAAAGTAAAGTAATTTTAATTTAAAACAAAACAAAAACAGATGTTTTCTTTGAAACTTTAAACTTAACAAAATTTAAAACTTAGTAAAATTACAAATTATCATTAAATTGAATTAATCAAATCACTGTTGAATAAATAGTTCTTAGTTATTGAAATAAACAATATTCACATGTATATGTTGTAATAAAACTATTTGCTTTTACAAATGGGAATAACAATTTAGAACCATACACCTTATTCTTTTTCAACAGATTTTTTTCTTTTTTTCACTTGTTATATTTTTTTTATAAGTTTTTATCAAATAGTATTCTTTTTTTAAGACTTATTATTAAAATTTTATAATTTTTCATTTACAAACTGCGCCAATTTCATAAACAAAATAAAAAATTCTTTTTTGTTTACTTTATATATAGCGGCACATAATTTAAAAAAAAAAAGGCATTTAATGTTGATATCGGTTTGACAATATTCGGAGCAAAGAAAGAGATTTACCCGAAGTTTTTGGCTTCACTATTTTTTTTTTTTTCAAGATACAATATTTTAGGGAGTGTAAGCGAGATAGAAGCAAAGATGTTCCTTTCTTTAGTATTTCTAATTCGTTGGCGAACAAATAGGTAGGCAAGTCGAATGGACTATGCGAATCGAATGACATTTTAAATTATGATCTTCGAATTTTTTCGTTCGCCAGATGCAAAATGTTGCTATTGCAAGACATCAAAAACTCACCGAAAATAATGAGGTTAACACCACACATATGTACACTGTTTTTGCTTTTTTGTAAAAGACTTAACATTGCTAAAGATAGGGACACACTTGAGTTTCCCTATCCCTTTAGCAACCTCGTGGTTGTTCTCTATTAATTAATACTCGAATTGTTTTTGGTTCCTATTTTTCACGTTTAAATTAATATTAAACAATCAATATTTTTTGTACTAATTGTTAGAGTTTTGTGAACTTACTTTACAGATAGTTTAGATTTTCCAATGATATATCTCTATAAATTCTATAATATCAAATAAAAAAAGCGCTTATGTATTATTTTGATTTTTGGTTTCATTCTCAAGCTTGTCACACAAAATTTTCATTCGGCTGATTTGACAACTTATTCGTCTAAAATTTAGACGAATTCGCTAACCATAATACTAAAAATTCATACTCGCCAAAAATTTCATTCGCTTCGCCAATAACTCAGCATACCTTTTCTCTTGTTATAACTGCTGTTTGTAACACTATAGAACAGAAGTTATGTCCCATCGAAATAAAACTTGAAAGCTGCGATGCTGAGAAAGAGAAGCAAAACATACTTGGAATAACACATGATTTATCGTGAACCGAGGTGGTTTTGTACATTATTTTGACATATGTATGTATATACATATACATATGTATGTATAATTATTATTGACTATAACATTTTGTCTAAATACACCAAATTTGAGATGCAAATATGTATCTACTTTTTCATACGCAAATTTATAAAATTTGATTTACATAGTGTTAAAATTAGGTGCAAAAATCGTTTAGATAAAGTACCACTACATAGTAGATCACCTGACTTCCTTTGAAATTTCATATATTCTCTCTTACTGGTGTAATAGTAACTAATACTTTTTAGAACAAAACCATTCTTGATTTGAACAAACTAATCTTTTAGATCACCTATTTTTGTAAATATGCGTGCAACCGTTTCTTTCCTCATAAAAGACATCCCTGAAGTTTCATCCTCTTTAGTCACTTAAGTCTCAACGCTCTAATCAGTCCTGTCCAGTTTTTATGGCAATTTACAATAAAATTTTTTGAATCTTGACAATCCACATTAGAAAAAAAAGGCCAAATATCTAAAGAAAGAAATGAAACTCTAAGTAAGGTGTGAAATATTCTTGAAAGTATAAGTTGCCATTAAACTTAAAATCGAAAAAAATTTTAAAATTTTCATTAAAAAGTTTTGTAAAAAGTTCAATAATTTTTGCGTTTAGCATGAAAGTTCACCAAAACTGATTAATTTTTTAATTTTTGAAAAAGTCATCTTAAGAATTTTTGGTCTCAAGCGCAAGAATTGACGTACATACATACATATGTGTGTGTGCGTGCAGAATGAAACATATTGGAAGCATTTTGATTGTATTATCAGATTATTTAGTTGTATTACCTTAAATTTATTGAAAAATTGAAACTATGATATGTCGTTTGTGCTTGAATGATGTTGAAAATTATTTCGATTTTTTTAGTGAAAAGGGAAAAGTTTTAAACGCAGCAAAAATTATTAGCCAACATTTTTGGTTTGAAGTAGGTATGTTTTTGTGTGATATTTTAATTTTTGTTGAATCAATGCTTCTTATAGCCAAAAAAAAATGACAGCTCTCAGAAAACTATTTGCGAAAATTGTTGGGAAAATATCAGTAACTTTCACTCTTTTTATGTTCTTATAGAAGGTAGACACAAGTTACTTTCGTATATAAAATCAGATCCATTTGAAGAGAAGCCTAATGTGATATCCAACAGCAAGAGCGTGAACAATATAAAAAATAAACTTGATATAATAGATAATTCTGTAAATTCGTGCTTCGACGGCATCAAATTGGAAGTGGTTTCAGGTGAAAGCGCTAATATACACAGTTCAAATATCCAGCTAACTTCTAACGATTGTCAATACATTGATAATGAAAATAGAAAACTTAGATATCGCGGAAAAAAATTGTCACTAGTCAACGATAAGATTAAGCAATCTGATTTAGTAGTCAAAAGCTTTAAAATAAAAAAAGAAAATCAGAAGAAAAATTTAAGTCCGAAAAACTTGATACTTAAAAAAGTTGATAAAATACAGCCCGGTATCGTGAAAAGAAAGAACGAGTTTTTTTCTGATGAGCAAATAAGGGAAATTAAGACACTAAATTGTAATAGCTGCTATGAAAAAATATCCACATTTTCAAAACTGAAGAAACACATGAATGAGGTACATGGTGAAAATGGCTATGTTGTATGCTGCGAGAGAAAATTTTACAAGAGATACAAATTTGTAAACCATTTACAAGCTCATTTAAATCCGGACGAATTCAAGTTAGTTATACAAGAGCTTAAATGTCTAACAAAAACTTTATAAAATGTAATTGAAACTCTTTTTTTATCTGCAGATGTCCACACTGTGATAAACGATTAGCAAGTAAAAGAAATGTGAAGCTTCATATAAAAAATATGCATACAGAAATAGGAAAATTGAAAAATTTTAGATGTGACCAATGTGAAAAAACTTTTGCTCAAAAAGCTTATTTAGATAGGCATAAACTCGGTCACATACCAGACAGTGAAAAACATTTTGCTTGCGAAAAATGTGGAAATAGGTAGGGTTAGTTAATAAAATATTTAACGTTAACTGTTTGTGATTAAAATCGTTCCAGATTTCCAACACCAGCTTTACTTCGAGTTCATACTGTCAATGTTCATGAAAGTAGGCATAGTTCCATATGTGATTTGTGTGGAAAAAAATATAAAAGTTCTGTAGATTTAAAACGTCATCGACTGGAACATATGGGAATACATGAACCTAAGGTGCAGTGTGAAATTTGTAGTGATTGGTCAGTTAAATTTTCATTTTATTTATTAATAATTTATCATATAATACTAAGTTAAAATCTTATATAATATTTTATTTGTCAATAGGCTATCAAATAAATACAAATTAAAGCGTCATATGCTGAAACATACAACAGCAGATAGTGAACATCGCTGTCCAATATGTAATAAAATGTCAGGAAATCTTTTGGCTTTGAAAAGTCATATGAGATTACATATAGCTCCCAAAAAATTTCAGTGTAGTATTTGTCAAAAAGGATTTCGGCGCAGTTTAAGTTTGAAGGTACATAATAATGAGATGTGTGATGTTTAATGCACATATGTATGTGCGTAAGTATAATGCAAAATGAAACTTTGAAAGTAATGGTACAAGATTCACGTTTACAATGTAATCAAAAGTATGACAAAATGCATATTGTATATATTATATTTGTAGGATTTGGATACAGCATTTGAAAAATCTTGCTTACATTTCAACCTCCTAACATATTAGCCTACATATGAATCCCTATATTTTGGTTGTAATAATTTTGAAAACTTAATAATGAAACTAATAATATTTCTGCCTTATAAAATTCATATACATAGGTACATTTTGCTGCTAAGCTATGTAATTTAAAACTGAAATTCAGTTGTATTTTTTAATTAGGTTATAAGAATTTGCGACCTATCAACAACGACTCATCTTATATTTTGAAATTATTTTCAATCTAATGAAGATTTGGATGTGCACATATCGTCGGTTAAATGCTGATGGGATAGGCCATTTTGAGATTTTTTGAGTTTCGGTGCAGCACCTTCGTAAGTTTTGGGAGACGCCTTTTCACCATATGTAGCCGATTTTTACCTATCTCTTAGTTACTGAATTATAGAATTGCAACTTTGCTGCATATCCGTAATTTTTACTATATTAAATGCATTCTGGTCCATATTCAAAACCGATGGCGTATGGATCAAAACACCTAACATTTTTCTCAATAATTTCTAATGCCAAAATAACTCACATTCATTAGACCGCGCTTAAAAAATTAAAATCTTTATATTAAATTGATCTACACGACTACACCCATATAATTTTGAATAGCAACCTATTTATTAACAATGTATGTATGTAAAGAATTAATATTTGCTTAATCGTGCGTGGAAGTGTTAAGATGTGTTTGCGTACAAAATTTTTAATTTTTTTAATGAAAAAAAATGTTTAATTAAAGAAAAACGACAAAATGCATTAAGTACCTTTATATTCCATAAAATTAAAATTTTCCAAAGTTCAATAAATCAAACATCGTCATCCCCAAATCCAACTGCCCCTGATACAATTTTAAATTGTGTACTTAGTAATAAATTTTTTAAATCTTACTGTTTTGGCAAACTTTCTTTTTGCAAAGTTGTTTTTTCCAAATTTTAGTGTGCAAGATGAGTCTTTTGGCAGTGATTCTAGTTTTTATTCTGGTAACATATTTTTTTGAGTTTATTCTTCGTTGACAATTTTGAATTACGACCGATCAACTAGTACAATTTTCTATAACTCTGACCTAGCTCTTTTCTTTTAATTTTAACATATTCTTTCCTCTTTAGATTCCCGTCCAGTGTCATGCCCAAATATTTTGTTGATGATTCGTATGGTACAGGTACTCCGTTTAAATGAATAGGAGTTTGCTGGTGTATGTGCCTATTTGTAAAATTGACGTTTGTTAACTTCGCTTCGTTTAGATTTTCCACTTTGCAGTTCATTCTGTAAATAAATAATTGGCATTTTGCAATTTCCTGGAGGTATCTAAATAATTTGATGTGGTGCTCCCCCCCCCCCATGTATTTCTTTTAATTCCGAGTAATCTTCCCCTATTCTTATTCTAAATAAGCTGTCGTTGAGATACAATTGTATTAATTTCACCAATTCAACTGGTAGAAAGTTATGTAATTAATAAGAGCCTACTAAGAGCTAAATTCACATTTTTCTAGGTACGTTAACTAAGAGCTTATTAGTGTCCTTAAAATTGTACAGTGTTTAAACGCGTTTTCATAATCTTCTGGAATACTTTTACTAATCTAGACAATATACTTACATTGCGGTCGGTTCACATCATAATTTTTTTTTATCAACACTTTTAGTTTCTCAGAGTTTGGAGACCACTGAAAGAATGGGTCGATATGACTCGACCTCATTTTGCGGCTTGCCAGGTTTCGGAAACATGATGACTTCAGTTACTTTCCAAAACATAGGTACGTACTTTAACCTAAAGGCGGCGTTAAACAGGTAAGTTAGCATTTTAACAACCTTCTCTGGCAGTTTTTCAGTCCAGGAGCTTTCTTTACTCTTTTTGATTTCGTGTAACACTTCTTTAGTTGTTATTAAACCTATTTCTTGATTAATATAATTATGAGAGGATACGACATTAACACTCGAATGAATCTCATTTGACGTAAATATTTCGGCAAGATGTTTTGGAAATACATCCGCCTTTTCCACTTTAAATTTAGCCCATGAATTGTCGGGCTTACAAATCAGTGGCGCATGTGAGATTTGGTTGTCAAATTTCTTCGTGTCCTTCCACAATGAATGCTATTGATTGGGGTGATAAGCTTTTTATATAATTGTTAAATGACTGTTCTTTGATTATTTTCATTTCTTTTTTCTGGTTTTCAGTAAATCTGTTCACGACGAGGATCTCTGGTTTGCTACATCCGCCTTCTTGCTAGTCTTTTTTCTAAAACCTAGGGTCTAATTTCCAATGGATAATTTACTCATATTGGTCTGTGCTTGACTATATTTGTGCTATTCCATAAGGCCTTTTGCACCAAAGTGTTGAATTTTTTCGCTTCTACTTCCAAGTCGAATTTCGATTTAGTATTTGTGTTTAGGTTAATTTTGTTGCTTAATTCGGATCGAAATTTATCAATCAGTGGAGTTATTAGTTGGGAAGAGTTTGAACTTTTCCCTTATAACCGTGTTCCTGAGTGATTGGAATTTGAGTCATTTACCACCTTTTTGAAAATAAAAAGTCAAACAAATCGGGTATTCTATTTATGTCCGAGGGCCAATATGTTATCCTTCAGACATAAATAGAATTTCCTACGAGTGGTTGTATGGTGGAGTGAAATTTACACACAGTCGTGGATAATCTGAGCTCTTTACCCTTTGTGTTGATCAGTCTGGAGCCCCAGCCAGTGTGCTTTGAATTGAAGTCTCCGCTCACTACGAATTTTTCACCCATTGTTTTTAGTAAGCTAAAAAACGGCGCCTACTATCAAATACTTCCTATCTACTTTTACTCTTACAACTGTGAGTTGTATTTCATTCGATTGTATACCACAATCGACTGATATTTTCCTTTATTAATATTGCACTTTCCCCATCGGCTTGTTTTCCGGATGGCAAGTCTTGTAAATGTTGTACCCCGTGAAAAGGATGAACGAGGGATTTGTAAGATGAGTTTCTGAGATCAAACACACGTCAACGTTTTGCATGTAAAAAAAAAGAGTTCAAGTTCGTGACGTTTTTCCGTTAGTCCGTTGACGATCCATGTAGCTATTTTGAAATTTTATCTGGTCATTGTAGTTTTGATGGATCGTTTCACCTGATGTAAATATTTCAATTTTATTAAACCTCATCGTAAGATTGTTAACCATGTTTACAATGTTTTGCAGCATATTTAATACATCCTTCTTGCTGTTTGTTGAATCCTCAACAAGATTATGTGAACTGGTTGTCTGAGAAGTGTTATTTTTAATGATATTTGTAAAACTCATCGTACCAGAAACTTTTTCGTGATGATTTCTTTGTTTTTCGAGGCTTAGCTGATTTGGATTGAATTGAATTATTTCTTCTTTTTTGTAGCTCCTTAGCAACAGAACATCGCTATAGTTGGCGGGATGATCGTTTCATACAATTTGTGCATTTTGCGGTGTGTTTTGGTTTACCACAAGAGGATGAGTAGTTTTTCCTGTATATTCAACGCAATTTGGTTGACAATATTTTTGTGTGTGGCCAACTCTTTGACAGCGCTTACACCGTAGTACCTAACCGTTTGATCTTAACGATTCAATCCCAACTTTTATATGACATAGCTCGCTAATTTTATAAATTTTCTTGATATCTTCAGAGTTATCAAAGTTATGAATGAACAAAGCAAGATTGATTGTTTACGGTTCTCCATCAATTGTTGATTTCTTTATTTTATTCGTGACATCGAAAAGTATGAACCCATTTCCTTCCAGTTCCATTTTATATCTTCAGGTTTACAAGAGGGGTGAAGATTTCAGGCCATTATTCTGATGGTCTTGTTTGTTCTCATAGCTGTCCCACTCTAGTTGAATGTCATTAAAGAGACTGGTTGCATAATCCTCATCTGTGACATTTATTTTTAGTTGGCTGTTGTTCAAGAGTTTGGCGTTATATTTGACTTTTGTAGATTTCAACTTTTATTCGATTTTGAAGTAGTTGACTATGTTGCTAATTGTTATCGGTGGTGAAGTTACCCTTTTGTATATGTCATGCTTCTCTCGTTCTACTTCAGTAAATGAGCCAAGATATATTGCTTAACGGTGTATTTAAAAAGTTAACCTCTGTGTTCTTGATTGTTTCATTGACAACTTTGCCCGATTTGGCTGATAAACTCTTTGTTTTTTTCTTTTTGGCCACATTGCTGGTATTCGGAATTTCATTAGCGCCGATTGATTCGAGTTTGGATGTCTTATTTTTTGACATTTTCCAGGTGGTAATATAAGTATGTGATTCTACTTTTACGTGATCCTTAAGTTCTTTAAAAATAAGATAATTTTTTTGTGAAAATAACATCCATGAATTTATTTTCAAAAATTTATTGTCATTTATGCAGTGCTGACAACTGCTTTAAAAAGTAGAGGTTATTCCTTCAGTTTTTAAATTTTCTGCTTTGGAATACTGCTGACAGAAGTACAGTTAAGTTTTAAAATCTACCAACATGAAGTACCTTGTTTTTCTCTTTATTTTTATAATATTTGTTTCAAATTATTGAATTTTCCTGTATTCTTTATATCCGCAAAGATTTTCAACCTTATTGTAAATCCCTCTCGTAGAATTCTAGCAATTTCAAGCTGAGTTACGCACGTAGACATTTGAGTCATTATAAATTTTACTCGTAGAGATTATGAATCTGCACTGACAACATTATTTTTTGGATTGTGAAAATCGATATTTTATTACAGCTGTCAAGCGTCAATCTTTAAATTCTTAACAGTAAATACTTAATCAAAATGAGTTCGTTTCCTTTCATTTAATTAAAATGAGCTCATTTTCCTTGAAGAAAATTTGATGTAATATAATATAAGCAAAATAAATTCTACTTAATACTTCCATTTTCCTCCTTTACATAAAAGAAATTTAACAACTAAACACAAACTTAAAAAAATTAACCGACCACTGCTGAATACTGGCTATATACGTTTGAAAATTTCATTAGTAGAATTTTGACATTTATTTTCATTACGAGTGTGATTAATAATTATTCCATTACGAATTTCGGAATATGATTGTACTATGAAATTAAAAATATGAAATTCGCAACTTCTCCGAATTTCAGTGTTACGAGTGAGATTTACAAAAGGGTGTTTGGCGTCAGCAAAATGAACTAAAAATGCACTACTTCACTGTAACTTCAGCTATATCTCGTTTAATTCTGTCTCACTTCGCGGATGCAATATGTATACTAAAAAGGATTATAATGTGAAAACTTTCTATCGCTTAGTTAAGAAAAAATGTAACTTTGAACTCAATTTACTAGAAACATAAAACGTGGCGTATGGATCACTGATGTGATGAGCCGAAGATACATATGTATGTATGTATATAATTTTTTGCCAATGTAATATATATGTATGTATTTTATTGCCAACTCATTGCTAAAATTTATTTTTGAAAAAATGTGAAATTGAATAAGGCACAGTGCAAAAACATATTAAGTCTGTCCATACATATTTTCTCAATTCTTAAAGCTTTTTCAAGTTTTGTAATATGAAATTTAGTGTTTTAAAAACTTTTAAACTCTTTAGCTTTCAAAACATGTTTTTCCTGGTTATGTCAGAAGGTTTTATTTTTCAAAAAAAATAAACAAAATGAATTCTTGAATCCAAAATCAAAATTTTCGGTTTCTTTGTAGTACCAAAATATATTTGTTTATGTTTGATAAATGTTTTGAAATTTAACGTTTATTACTTAATTATGGCACTAGTTTTTCCTTTTGTGAAAAATTACGTCAGTGTTTCCTCTTTGTAAAATTTTCAAGTTTTATACCAAACATACGACCTAATTTTATTCACTTTATATATTATTTTTGCAATGTGATTACTGATTTTTTCAGTTGGATTTTTGCATTTTTTCGCAAATTATTGACTGAATCACTCACTTTTCTGTTTTTCACTTAAACAAAGTGAATAAATTTTGTAGACATTTTAAAAAAAAACGAGATACTCAATACGAAATAATTCTTCTCACTAGAAAATTACATTATATAGATATATGATAGTTACTCACTTTCTTTTCACTTGACAAGTAAAATTGCGAGATAGACGATTATAACAATAATACTTATTATAACGGGAAGCCTGTAACATTGGAATTTAAGCACCCAATTGAGAGAAATATGTCAAGGGGTTACTTATTAATTTTTATAATATTGGATCGGGGCAGTGCTGCCAAATATTTTAGCTCAAATATCTTCATATTTTTTTAAATAAAAATTTCATTTTGAAGATTCGATTAAAAAAAAAAATTTTCACGAACTCTTCGAGATCTTCAATTGCAGTTAAATTGAAAAAAGTAGAAATCCAAAATATCACTATTTCAATTCGAATCAAATCAGACGTCAAAAAAAATAAATTAATGACATACGAAATGACATATAATGTCATAAGTCGTATGCGCATTTAGTTAGTGCGGATCATTATCAGTTATGTTTTTCGGATCATTATCCTGTTGAAACCAAAATTTGTCCTCAAACTGTAATAATTTGGCATTTTACATTAAATTGCTTTTCAAAATATTTAAATATCGTATACATATTTATTCATAGTAGTATCGATAAATTGTAATCTACCAACGCCAGAAGCTGCAAAACATGCCCAAACCATCACGTTTCTACCCCCGTGTTTAATTGTTCCAATAATGTTTTCTGTTTCATATGCCGCGTTAATACTCTTTGCCTCCCATCATATTTAAAAAAATTCAATTTGCATTCGTCCGAAAAAATTACGTTTTCCCAAAACTTTAAATTACGATTTTGTTAGTCTAAGGCGAATTCAAACCGTTTTTTACGATTTACCTCACTTAAAGGTTTTTTTTTTGGTATCCGGCTTACATACCCGTTGTGTTTCAGTAATCTAAATATTGTAGATCGATGTCAACTTTTCTGATCTTCCTCTGCAACTTTATGAACGATTTATGATGACGAAATTTCGTTGTATACTTTCACTTTCATTAGTATAGCTCGTTTTTCTCTCAAAAAACATTTTTGGTCGTCCTGAACGAGGTTTTGAAGCAGTCCATCCACTCTTATTATAGTTGTTTATTATAATCTGTATAGAAGATTTACTTTTACTGCAAATTGTGACTATTTGACCTAAAGATTTGGCTTCATTTCTTAAACCTACAGCAACTTTTTCTAATGCGGCGGATGTTTCTTTCCTTTGAGACATGATTTCGTATTAGTGAGGAACCAACATACTTTCTTTTTTGATAAATCTACAAAAGCACAAAAACAAGTTAGAGAGGAATGAAGTGCAATTAGCTTCTATAACTTCGACAACATTCAATCACAACATTTGAATTAAGGAAGAAAAAAATCGTATGTTAACTCTTGAACATACGATAATTTTACTTTTCGGAGAATTCCCTCATTTGTTTCTTAAAAATCAAGAAAAAACATCTAACAATAATTTTTGATGTTTAAAGAAAATTGATTACATTTTAAATTAGAAAAAAAAACCATGGCGATGATTAAATGCATTAAATTAAAAACATAATACCGTATTTTGACTTTTGCACGTAAGTGTATGTATTTTTAAATTATATTGAATAGTAAAAACATAACGCTTAAAGTATCTTATTAATTCATCTTTTTTTTTAATTATAAGGAACATATGACGACACATACAGGAGAGACTTTATATTCATGCACCAATTGCTCACGAACTTTCACCCATCACTCAAATTTGCATCATCATAGAAAAAAAATGCATCCCAGAGAACTCGAAGAAGATAGAAAATTGAGACACTTAAAGACAGAAAATTATAATACTTTATTGGGTACACTTAAGCTGGATATAGTTAACAATGAAAATAGTACACAAATTGTGAACACTGCAATGGAAGCTGAAACAAAAACTCCGTGAAAAATAGTATATTAATAAAGGAAACAATATTATGATATAATATGTATGTAATAATATGCTTAAGATATACCAAATCGAGGATTTCACATTTAAATAAAATGCGAAGACGCACAACATCTTTGAGTGTTTTTGATAATGTAATATATTTCGCATTTCTAACTTGGAACATAAATAACTTAGACAACAGAAAGACGCAGCTGCCAAAACTATATATGTATTTAAAGTGTCAGAAATGAAACCACAAAATTAAATAGACATTTTATTATTTCCAGTTTACTGATTAAAATAATCAGTAATATATCGTAAAATATATGTTAAAAATTTCAACATGTAATGCCTGGTTTTTAACTTTTATCTCTAAGGAAACCTGTATCTCTGATGAAATAATATTGTCTTATAAACTATTGATTAGCCAGTTCATGTGGCTTCGTCCTTTTTAAGCGGCGCACATCACTGCCAGTATTCGTCAATTTCCTCGCTTCCTCCATTTTTTGATTCATAAGTTTTGCCTCATGCGTGGAGGTAAATCTTTTGATTTTGCTATCAACGCTACTTATATTGAGATCCCTATGTAGATCTTCATTACGGACATACCTCTCCAACTTTCCCCTGGGGGTAATGACAATATCATCGGCATAAGCCTGGACAAAAATTCCTTGAAGAAGGAGCTCATCAGTCCATTCACCACCAAACTCCACATTAGCGGAGACAGAAATGCACCCTGTGGGCATCCCCTGGCCACGTGCATCTTTTGGGTGCTCTGCCCCACAGCTGTCTCCGCAATTCTCGTAGTCAACATATTGGACATCCACAGAGAGATGGTGGCTCCCACGTCCCTAGGCTCTCGCAATCTCCTCATGAGTGAAAGCCTTCTCCGTTAATAAAGAAGGGGCCGCCCCTTCTCCTGGGTTTCATATTCTTCAGAAAAACCCCCCTCGTCCGCCGATTCTTCTAGACCCAGGCGTGAGTTTACTTGTTCTGGGGTCGAAGAGGGTGATTACGCAATTCTTGCGGATGTTATCTTCTTTCCTTGCTACCGCTCCATGTGCCCAGATCTGGTGCCCGCTTGATCAGCCATTCCGCTGTCTTATTATCTGCACAATCAATGAGTATCATCCCGGGCTTGGAGTGTTTTCCTTCAAATTGGATAATGTTGTCCCAGTTCTTGGCTATCTTGTCGATTATCGCCTCCAGCTATGTGAGTTCCTGCTAGGTCAGCATAACGGAGGGCCAAAACGGCAAAACTGCTACCTCCAGAAGTTTGGCAGCCGCGGCATAGCTAGCCCCTGGCTCCGTTGTCGAGGTTGAGGGTATGGGGTACATTCCCATATTTCTTCTTTCAGCCGTTTTCCTTATTTTGGCCTGCTCTTGGAGTGTCAGAGACTCTCGTTCGCGCTGGCCCCCGTGAGCCAATGGAACATGTGGAGAGTTTGCTTCGACTGCCCTCCATGTCATTCTTCTTTTTTTGTATCACAAAGATTAGTCTCCACCTACCTTGCAACCTTGTCCTTTCTTGTTTTGTCTGGTTGCTCCCGAACTGTAATGGTGTTTTCCCCGTTTTGTTAATTTTTCTGTTTTTGATTTGTTTGTTCTACTCTTGTTTTGGTCCCACGAGAAGTTATGAAAAGGGTAGTCCGCTACTCCAGAACTCCGCATTGCGTAGTGGGGTCAAGATACTCTCTGAGGTGACCCGGTATTAGAGAAACTCAGTTTACGGTCGCCAGTATATACACTGCCCTGCGGCACCCTGGCACTTATGTTTACCAAGTCTGAATACTTTCCGCCATATCTTATTCGGAATTCTCTACTCGTTAAATAAGAACTTAAGATCACAGAATACTGGAGCGGGAGATCACGATGAATTTTTAATTTAAGGACCCCCCAATCAGACCTTATTAAACGCCAGCGACAAGATGCACTTGTTAAATCTTCATATGAAAGTCCAAATTGATGTGATGGTATTAGATTTCTATATTCGATAATCGGAACTAATCTTTTATACAACAGTTTTTCAAAAATTTTGGACATAATTCTTAGCAGCGATATAGGTCTATACGAGCAAACTTCTATAGGCAATTTGCCCGTCTTTAGTATCACAATAATTTCAGCGATTTTCCACAATTTAGGAACATACATTAATTCAAATCAGGAGTTTATGATTTCTTTGAGCCTTAATAACGCAGTATCAGGTAGGTTTTTCATAATTTCACCAAAGATGAGATCGAAACCCGGTGAATTTTTGTTGCTGATTTTATTTATTACAGATTTGAGCTCAACTAGAATTGTTAACAGACTTCTGCTTCATCATTTTTCTGAACATAGCTAATATTTTCTTCGTCGCTTAGTTGAGAGAAGGGTTTAAAGACACTCTTTAAGAATAGGGCAAAAATATCAGCCTTCTCCCTCTCGGTTTTCACCTATTGGCCATTGGGCTTTTTAATTAGCTGATCTTGGATTTTTGGATGCTGGATTTTTTAGTTGCTTTCTATAACAAGTAATCTGTTTTTTCTGGCATTTCTTTTTCTTTAATTAATTGAACAAGGTCGAGTGGATAGCTCTTTTGAACATTCTTTATCTTCATTTCGGGAGTACTTTCGATTGTAGCTAACTGTATATCAGCATTAAGTTGCTCAACCTCTTTGTCTAGTTGTGCACATGTGTGGATTTCGTACTCACTGGTGAGAAGCATATTAATTTCTCCTTGAATACTTTCCAGTTGATTTTCTTGTTGATTAAAGCTATCGCTGATAGTCAGTGTTGCAGGAGTGTGATAAGAATTCAGATTGAAAAAAGATTTAATTTCCATAAAATTACTATTGATTCCTTTTATGACAAAAAAAATCCAGTAGATCAAGTATTTTGTTAAGATCGGTTGGCCAATATGTGGGGGAAGCTGTTGATAGGAATTCACAATGTTTGTCTCTTGCAGCGTCAAATAGAGTCCCACCCCTAGGAGTCACAAGTCTCGAATCACAAAACGCGTGCTTTGCGTTGAAGTCGCTACCGACTATAAAATTGTTATCGATATGACTGAATATATCTGCAAACTGCTTGAATACTTGATGTTTCAATTTTGTAATCTTCATATGATCTAGATTTCCTTTAGCGAATATTGCTGTTTCTCCATGAGTAACATCATTTGGTAGTGGAGTAAAGTAGAAGTTATAATTACGAATATTGACATATCACTGATTAGTAAGTTGCGCCTCGGATTTACGAGGTTATCTTTAAGATCTCGATTTTTTTTGCGCTTATCTTTAAGCTTAAGCTCTTTGAGTTTATTTGTTTCATTTAATATGTTTTTGTAGGGCCTTCCCTGTTCATCCAGTTTCTTAATAAGGTAGCCCAGCAGCACCTTGATCGAATCTTTTTCATTTTTCTTATGATTGTTCACAATTTGTGAATACATATTTTGAACTCCCTTGTTATGACTTGGGGTATTTGATGTAATAACTTTAGTTTCTTTTGACTTGTCTTCTGAAACACTATTTATCTTTTTTTCTTGGTACAAAAGAGGGTTTTTGTCGAATAACAGCTTAAGTCTTTAAATCTGACATTTCAAATAAGTTTTCTTGCAAAAAGGTGAATCATTTTATTTTGTGTGATTTTTATATTTTAACGGTGATGGCAGGTTACTATTCATTCAGCCATATCGTGAATTTCGCTCGTAGAATCCTACGAATTACGAACTTAGTTACGGCTTAGACTTTTAAATGATCATAAAGTCTTTTCGAGGAGATAATGAATCGATAATGGCCACAGCATTTTCCGGTGTTTCAAAATCAATTTTTTATTTCAACTGTTAAATGTTTAATTATATTTTTTGCTGTTTTTTGATTTGAATAAACAACTTTCATTCAAAACAATTTTTTTAAAAGCGGAGTTTAGCAGATTTTTTAGTTTTTAAATATATTTTTGAAAAATGGAAAAAAAAAGTTTTAACAACTAAGGCCCTTGCACTTTTCGAATTGTTTATGACATTAGACAAAATTACAGAAATTCTTTGCCATATTAATTTCAATTACTTTTATTTTATAAATCTTAACTAAGTATCTTATAATATTTGATTTATATTGTATGTACATACAGGTGTTATTAATTTAGTACATCAAATTAAATGATTAAATTATTTTACAGTAATTAAATCCATACATTAAAATTTAAATTTTTATAGTTTCTTAATTTTTGCCGTAACAAAAAGTATGGCAGAAAATATCTCTTCGCATAAAAATGTTTTAGATCGCTATTTAAAGCGATTTTCGTTTAAATTTTAATAATGTGCAGACAACACTCCACATTCTTCACATTTTTAAAACTGCTCCCAGACTCTAGGCCTACTATTTGGGAAATTTTTTTTTGACGCAATGGTTATAATATAATATTTAAAAATTTAAATTTATTTTAAAAAATTAGCAATTTTCTTTAATAACTCGCGAATTTCTGTCAAAGTAAAACAAGTTTTTTTAGTTCTGAGATTGTCATATGTTTTTTAAAATTTCAAAAATAAAACCACAAAAACAAATATTATATTATCCCCAGTGATTTTATTATCTCCAGTGAATTATAAATTTAAAGTTTTCATTAAAGTAATAACAAAATTTAAAAGAGACATATTCTAATAAAACCTGTAAATCTGAATTACTTTTTTTTTTAAGTACAAAATAGTTTTCGCAGCACTAAAATCAAAACTGAGTTGTTCGCGTATACAATTATCTATGATTCTACAATAAAACTTCCTCGTTTACGGTTGAATGTAGATTCATTCTTTTATTTTTAAATTATACATAAAATTTTACAGTTACTTACAATAATTTTGCTTATTCTACATTAATTTATAATAAAAACAAAAACAACAAACAAAAATAAAGAAATGAATGTACAAATAAAGTACAGGTGTTATGTTCAAAAAAAAAAGGTAATTATTTATTATGCTTTGAGACCATGTGGAAAGCTTTACCGTGTGAATGCAAAAACCTTTATTCAGCAAAAACCGATCATGCTCGTTTGGAATGATCGCCTCATGTTTAGTATAAGCATTGAGGGCAAGCATAATCACATCGTCATTAATTGTGTATTAATCGAATATAACAATATCTTAAAAATCTTATAAAGCAACTGTTGTTATAGAACAAATTTTAATACCGTAATATCAAACAAATTTTTTGACAGCACGTGCAGTATTGTCAAACATAGGACACCTAACTACAGTACTAAGTTAGACTGAATTATTAGAAACGCAGTGTATGTCAAAAACAATACGATAGTTAGTTTTATTTTATTGTATGCGTTCTGCACACGAAATTGTGTGAGCTATACTAGAGAACTAGACGCGAG